ACAGGGAGCTTTATTTCAGGGAGGAACTCGGATTTTGTGTGGCTTGCAAATTATGAACTTAATTTATATGTCAACTTTGCAGTGAAAATATTCTTAGTATTTTACACTTATTAGAATACTTTTGAATAACTTAATATCTGAAAGCCAGAAAATATTTAAGAAAATTTATAAAGACTGGTGTAAATTTTAATCGATGTTTGATTATTTAAGATTTTATAAAATGTATATCTTGCCAATAACTTAATATTAATAACAATTTTGAAGTCTAAAATAATATTATTCAAGACGGAATCATACTTAATTATTCATAACACTGGATTATAGCTCAAGTGAAAATATTTGTTTTTTTTTTGTAAACTGAAACAACTATATTCGCCTCCCTTAAGGATTTTTAAATGTTAAAAAATCTTGGATCCAAGTTGGTTCTACATATAGTGACTTTATACTTTCGTGATTTCAAGTAAAAACTATTTATATAATATTTCGGAAGTCTTGAACAAGTTTTCCTCGGCTGTCCCAAAGATTCTCGCTCGATCGCAACCTGTTGCCCCCAATCTCCGCCACTCGCAGGCGGAAAAAGTTACTTGGCAAAGTTTGGAGCATACAGCTACAGCATGACTCTGTCAGATTTCGGCCATAGTAATTAAACTTTCACTGGGGTAGAAAAATTAAAAACAAAAAAAATCGAGAAAAATCAACAGCTAACGGTGTGGGGTGGGGGGAAATGGGAGGATAATGAAAATGAAAATGAAGAACGGACTGCGACGGAGCTGCGAAAAACCAGCGACAGCTTGTTGACAATGTAAATAATGTGACAAAGGGGTGGAGAGGGGGGAGGGGGGAGCATGTGAAATTGGTTAGTGGCGAAAGTGGCGAAAGTAACGTGGATGGGCATGGGCTCAAGTGCATGTGTTTGCCATGACGTTGATAAGCCGCAAAAGTGTCATAAAAAATATGCAACTACCAAGGCGACGAAAAACTACCGCCCACCACCCATCGCTTTTCCACCCGCACTTTCATTCAGGCTTATTGCCGCTGGCGTCAGCGTTTTGTTTTGGCCAGTGCTGGTTTTCCTGGTTTTTCCTGGCCTTCCCCCCCACTCCTTTTCTTCTCGCAGCGGGCGTGAAAGTTGCGAGAATTTATAAAATTCACATTGACGCCGCAAATGTCATTTATCAACGTGTCACTGCCAGAAAGAGAACGATAGAGTTGGCCCAGAGAAAGAGAATGAGAAAGCGAGTGGGGATAGAAAAAAGCCACAAAAATATTAAGAATATAATTCCCGATATTTACACATAGGTAAATTCATGGATAATTCTGTAATTATGAAGCACATTTTTGTAATATAACAAAAATCAAACTTGGACAAAAAGATTAAAGTCTACTTAGAATAAAAGAGGTTATTAGATAAAAGATTGCCACACTTTTTTGTAATCCTATTTAAATAACATTTTGTTGGCAATGTTATTATTATTGTACAAATTCTAAATATGTTTGTAATTTATTGGGGAAAATGCACAAAAATCTTTGTTTTAAATATGCTTTAAGGGGAAGTTAAAGCCAATCTTAGAACTCGTTAAGCTGCCCTCGATTTGGGTGGGACTTTTCCCCTGCTCCATAGAAAGCCCGTTTCTTCTGCTTCTTCAGTTGGTGGAACTTTTCGCACTTGGCACTAAATTTTCAGCTGCTTTTGTGTTATGACAATTATAATTGTGCTTTTGCATATGTGTGTGTGTGCGAGAGCATTTCTTGGCAGGAAGTATTTACGTGGGAAATTGTAACAAATGTTTTGTGTGGTCCTTCGATGTGTGTCTGTCTGTGTGTGCGTATGTGCGTATGTGAGTGTGTAGCCTTGTTGCACTTTTCCGCCAACAAAGTAACTGTAAACTGAAAACTGAAAACCAGCAGCCAAAGTAAAATAGTAAAATTAAATTACATGTTTGTGTATATGTGCAATTACACCTGTGCTCAAAATACAAGCATTTACAAGGCTTATTAAATAATGTAGCAAGAATGAGTCTTAATTGGTAAAAATTTTACTTCTTTAGCCAAAAATACAACTACCCATTCATAAGTATTGTATTTTTGAAAAAGGTATATTTAGGTCAAATCCTTGGCAATTACTTTTTATAACTTTAAAAATAAGGTTTTCTTTAACTGCAAGTGTAATGCATTGATGGTTAGATGATTTTGAATGATTTCTGCCCAGTGCTATTGTCTTGACCGCTGCTGTCGGTTGTCTTAAATAGTCATAGACTGTTAGACAACAAACAATGCGCTCTGCTCTTTCTTCTCCTTGTCTCCAGCTTCTTCTTCCACTCCGCTTTTTGGGCAAAAGTTTTTTCAGTTGAGAAAAAGGGGGCAGTGAAAATGGGGGCGGGGTCCGTGCGTGGTGGGCGTGTCTTGGAAAAGTTGCAGCCAAAATGAAATATGCTCGGTGGCACGGCGAGAAATCTCAACCATTGGGGGCTATAGAAAGAGAGGGGTATATGGCGTGCGAAAGAGAGGGTATGTGGAGGAGACAAAAAGCCCTAGCAGGAAGTTTTGGCTACGGAAATTTATAAGATTTATGTTTAATTGTTGTTTTTGGCTTTTGCGGCAGCTGCCGCGTGTCTTTAGAGCCCCCTCTGCGCCCCTCTTATTTTATCCCTGGTGTGTGTGTTCTTGGGAAAAACAAATTAATTAGTAAAATTAAATGGCAGTCGACGGCAAATGACAAGTTCGGGCAATTAAAAAAATATATATGGCTCACACTTGAGCGGGTGAAATTACGAATGCTTAGCTATCACAATTCAGAAGTCTGCAGTAACGAAAGTTTGGCTTAGAACTGGCAATGTTTTTCAATTTAATAGGAAATCAAGGCTTCTAAAAAGCATAAACATGTAGAGCATGATGTAGAGCTTAAAAAATATACTTTTTGCTTAATTCATTCAAAAAGTATTCGTGTTTTTAAGATACTTAAAAAATGTAAAGATAATAGTAACATCCGCCAGAAGTAGAATGTTGAAAAGTCTATGTTTTTTGAATTGCATATGGGAATATATTTTAGATAAATACCCTCCTGCCAAAACTATATGCCATTTACCTTACAATTGAAATAATTGTGCAGTCGATAACTTTTGGCTATCCTCAATATGCCAACGCAGTTTGCAGTTTGTCGGTTAAATAAGAGCTAAGGACTAAACTCGTTAAGACAACAAGGAAATGCCATAAATTACCAATTACAAATTGCTCGGAAGACGATGACGATGGCACATCGGATTTTATCTGCGGCCAGCAATTATAAATGCATTTGTCAAATATTGAAACAAAAATGAAATACCCTCGAAGGAGAGAGAAATAGTGCGGTTTTTGCTGGCTGAGCAATTAATGCCAATAATGCAATGAATACTTGTTGGCTAATCCAAAGTGTGCGGCTACACTGAGCGCAAATCTGACTAGCAGATAAACCAATACTGGTCGTGATTTGTTGACTGAAACTGAAATTGATGACCTTGCTTGGCCAAATAGTTTGTGGACTTTGCCACAAATTGGCAATCGTTTCGGATTGAGGTATAAATATACTTGTATTTAGTCATCTATCACGCAATTTGTGCATAAGTTTAACTTCCTAAGTATTTGAATTGCAGATGTACAAAAATGTTGGTTAGCTCTCAAAATACTCAAATTAATTAAAGTGAAAATAACAGTATCTTTAGTATCTTTAACCTATTGAGTTTAAAGCAAATAAACTAAACTTTTTTGTACCTCTCATTAATACTTACTTTACCTTTTACTTTTTTATGTTTTTTCATAATGCCGAAGTACATACTTTATTGCATTTTGAATTTACCAAGCCAAAAATTTAAATATTTCATTGCAGCTTTCAGAAAACTGTCTTACCTGACTTAATTTTCAAGTCACCTAGATCTGGGAATTAAAAGCAAAAAAAAAACATAACACCATAAATCATCATAGTGGACAAGTATGAGTCCTTGGACTACGGCAAACTGGGCAGGACTTAACCTAAGACGCTGTCGCAGGACTTCACTCGATTTCCGTTGCGTGCACTTTTGTGGCCGGCTTTTCCTTTTTCCGCATGGTAATGGAGCTGGCCAGCACAGCAGAAATCCAGGCCACAGAAGCCATGACCGCACTTTTAATCAAAGTGAAAACTATGAAAATTTATAAAATAATTCTCGTAAACGAGCTGGGTAAAAAGAAGGCGAGCTAAGCATGCAAAAACCGAATTTGTGCAAGGACCTGTCACTGCAGCCCTCAAAAAAGGCCAGCCAGCCAGCATTCAGCCACACCCCAGAAACCAAACATCCTGTGATACAAGGACCTCCAGTGTTTGTGTTTGTGTTTGGATTTTCGGTTGCTCCGGGCGGTTCTTGGGGATGGCTGTGAATTGGGGACTCTGTGTGTGGATATTTGCATGATATATGCAGTTATAATAAACCACAAGACCGGGTAAAGCAACAGTAGCAGCAGGAACTGCTACTGCAACTGGAATATGAGGAGGACGAGGACGAGGAAGAGGCCAGGTTCTGACAAACAAATGCCAATGCTCAACGGTGCGTATGAACCCAAATGGCAAACAGGAGCCACCATAAGAGTGACCTTATCGAAGGACCCCTGGCCTAACAGCCGATCCGAAATGGGCATTACATAAATTACCTAAGCATATTATTTGCCACAATTGAAATTCGTATTAATAAACAGAGCATTTGGAGAGGCAGTTGGACAATATCTAGCTAAGCGACTATACGAAACATTTTGACTTTCTTCAAATATATCGGAACAATGCAAATATGCACTCTACACAAAAGTTATAGGATTGACATGAAATCAGTTAATGATTCCTGTTGAAAAACCTTTTCATTAATGAATAAATTCTCTACGGAAACCAACAAGTTCTTTAAAGAAATTGATAAGCCCTGGCTTATGAAAGAATATAAATATAATATTAAAGAATAAATAATAAAATACAATAGCGGTGAAAAGAGTCTTACTTGTGACTGTCTTAAAAGAGCCGGTAACAGAACTTAGTAAAATTGTATTGATCTCAGAGGCCTATGCAAAAATTGCCAAAAATTCTGTAGCTGTCAAAAGTTAGACGAAGGCAAATAATTCAGTTGCATAAGTTCAGTGAGCAGAGCAACCTGAAAATATTCGTGTACTTAAAAATGAGTTTCCAGCAGGAAAATCGAAGCGAAATGAAGAGTTACCATCAAGCCTTTAACGCGTTCTTAAGTAACGAAGGGGAAAGAAGGAGGAATGAAGACCTCTTGGAGGCGCAACCGCAGAGTTCTCCAAACAATGACCCCCAGGTGAGTCCAATAATGTTGGATAAGTGGGCATTAGTAACCTCTTTTCCAATTTATAAATATCCAGATGGGGGGCACTGCTGCGCAACAGGCCTCTGTGGCTCCTTCGCCACCCAGAGCTGCTCCGAATCAGGAACAGACGAACATTGAGGCTCCTTTTATAACCAGACCTGATCTGAACCGGGCACATCTGGTCTTCCGAGCTCCTTCCGCAACCAGAGCTGTTCCGAACCGGGCGCAGGTGGGCTTTCAGGCTCCTTCTTCATCCAGGATTGATCTGAATCGGGAGCAGATGGACTTTGATGGCCCTTCTACATCCAGAGTTGCTCTGAATCGGATACCGCTGGAATTTGAGGTTCCTTCCAATTCCGGAGCTGCTCAGAATCGGACACCGCTGGAGTTTGAGGAGACTTCCAGAGCCAGAGCTGCTCTGAATCGGACACACCTGGAATTTGAGGTTCCTTCCACATATAGAGCTGGTCTAAGCCAGCAACAGCAGGACTTTCAGGGTCCTTCCACATCCAGAGCTGCCCTGAATCGGGCACACCTGGAATCTGAGAATCCTTCAACATCCGGAGCTGATCTGAATCGGGCACAGCTGGACTTCAAACCTCCTTTCACTTCAAGAGCAGTTCCGAATCGGGCACAGCTTGAGTTTGAGGTTCCTTCCTCATTCAAATGGGATCTGATTCGGATAAAACTAGAATATGCTCCTTTCTCATCCGGAGCTGATCAGAATCGTGCACAGCTGGAGTTTGAGCCTCCTTTCATAACCAGAGCGGCTCTGAATGGTGCACAACTGGAATTTGAGGCGCCTTCCACAACGAGAGCTGATCTAAATAGGTCACAGCAGGGCTTTCAGGCTCCTAACACACCCAGAGCAGCTGTGAACCGGCCACAGATAGAATTTGTGGCGCCTTCTACGTCCAGAGCTGATCTGAATCGGGTAAAACAGGAATTCGAGGCTCCTTCTTCCTCCAGAGCTGATATGAATCGGGAACGGATGGACTTTGCTGGCCCTACCACATCCAGAGCTGGAATAAATTGGACAGCGGTGGAATTTGAGGATCGTTCAACATCCAGAGCTGATATGTATCGGGAACAGATGGAGTTTGATGGCTCTTCCACATCCAGGGCTAACCTTAATCGAACACCGCTGGAATTTCAGGCTCGTTCCACATCCAGAGCTGATATGAACCGGGAATATAGAGACTTTGATGGCCCTTCCACATCCAGAGCTGCTCTGGATCGGACACCGCTGGAATTTGAAGTTCGTTCCACATCCCGAGTTGATCTGAATCGGGAAGAGATGGAGTTTGATGGCTCTTCCACATTCAGAGCTGCTCTAAATCGGACACCGCTAAATATTGAGGCTCGTTCCACATCCAGAGCTGATTTGAACCGGAAACAGATGGAGTTTGATGGCCCTTCCACATCCAGGGCTGCTCTAAATCGGACACCGCTGGAATGTGAGGCTCGTTGCACATCCAGAGCTGATATGTATCGGGAACAGATGGAGTTTGATGGCCCATCCACCACTAGAGCTGATCTGAATCGGGAACATATGGAGTTTGATGGCCCTTCCACATCCAGAGCTGCTCTAAATCGGACACCGCTGGAATGTGACGCTCGTTCCACATCCAGAGCTGATATGTATCGGGATCAAATGGAGTTTGATGGCTCTTCCACATCCAGAGCTGATATTAATCAGGAACAGATAGACTTTGATGGCCCTTCCACATCAAGAGCTTTTAGTCGAACACCGCTGGAATTTAAGGCTCGTTCCACATCCAGAGCTGATCTGAATCGGGAACCGATGGAGTTTGATGGCCCTTCCACATCCAGAGCTGCTCTAAATCGGACACCGCTGGAATGTGACGCTCGTTCCACATCCAAAACTGATATGTATCGGGAACAAATGGAGTTTGATGGCTCTTCCACATCCAGAGCTGATATTAATCAGGAACAGATAGACTTTGATGGCCCTTCCACATCAAGAGCTTTTAGTCGAACACCGCTGGAATTTGAGGCTCGTTCCACATCCAGAGCTGATCTGAATCGGGAACCGATGGAGTTTGATGGCCCTTCCACATCCAGAGCTGCTCTAAATCGGACACCGCTGGAATGTGACGCTCGTTCCACATCCAGAGCTGATATGTATCGGGAACAAATGGAGTTTGATGGCTCTTCCACATCCAGAGCTGATATTAATCAGGAACAGATAGACTTTGATGGCCCTTCCACATCAAGAGCTTTTAGTCGAACACCGCTGGAATTTGAGGCTCGTTCCACATCCAGAGCTGATCTGAATCGGGAACCGATGGAGTTTGATGGCCCTTCCACATCCAGGGCTGCTCTGAATCGGACACCGCTGGAATGTGAGGCTCGTTCCACATCCAGAGCTGATATGTATCGGGAACAGGTGGAGTTTGATGGCCCATCCACCACTAGAGCTGATCTGAATCGGGAACATATGGAGTTTGATGGCCCTTCCACATCCAGAGCTGCTCTAAATCGGACACCGCTGGAATGTGACCCTCGTTCCACATCCAAAACTGATATGTATCGGGAACAAATGGAGTTTGATGGCTCTTCCACATCCAGAGCTGATATTAATCAGGAACAGATAGACTTTGATGGCCCTTCCACATCAAGAGCTTTTAGTCGAACACCGCTGGAATTTGAGGCTCGTTCCACATCCAGAGCTGATCTGAATCGGGAACCGATGGAGTTTGATGGCCCTTCCACATCCAGAGCTGCTCTAAATCGGACACCGCTGGAATGTGACGCTCGTTCCACATCCAAAACTGATATGTATCGGGAACAAATGGAGTTTGATGGCTCTTCCACATCCAGAGCTGATATTAATCAGGAACAGATAGACTTTGATGGCCCTTCCACATCAAGAGCTTTTAGTCGAACACCGCTGGAATTTGAGGCTCGTTCCACATCCAGAGCTGATCTGAATCGGGAACCGATGGAGTTTGATGGCCCTTCCACATCCAGAGCTGCTCTAAATCGGACACCGCTGGAATGTGACACTCGTTCCACATCCAAAACTGATATGTATCGGGAACAAATGGAGTTTGATGGCTCTTCCACATCCAGAGCTGATATTAATCAGGAACAGATAGACTTTGATGGCCCTTCCACATCAAGAGCTTTTAGTCGAACACCGCTGGAATTTGAGGCTCGTTCCACATCCAGAGCTGCTCTGGATCGGACACCGCTGGAATTTGAAGTTCGTTCCACATCCCGAGTTGATCTGAATCGGGAAGAGATGGAGTTTGATGGCCCTTCCACATTCAGAGCTGCTCTAAATTGGACACCGCTAAATTTTGAGGCTCGTTCCACATCCAGAGCTGATTTGAACCGGAAACAGATGGAGTTTGATGGCCCTTCCACATCCAGAGCTGCTCTAAATCGGACACCGCTGGAATGTGAGGCTCGTTCCACATCCAGAGCTGATATGTATCGGGAACAGGTGGAGTTTGATGGCCCATCCACCACTAGAGCTGATCTGAATCGGGAACATATGGAGTTTGATGGCCCTTCCACATCCAGAGCTGCTCTAAATCGGACACCGCTGGAATGTGACGCTCGTTCCACATCCAAAACTGATATGTATCGGGAACAAATGGAGTTTGATGGCTCTTCCACATCCAGAGCTGATATTAATCAGGAACAGATAGACTTTGATGGCCCTTCCACATCAAGAGCTTTTAGTCGAACACCGCTGGAATTTGAGGCTCGTTCCACATCCAGAGCTGATCTGAATCGGGAACCGATGGAGTTTGATGGCCCTTCCACATCCAGAGCTGCTCTAAATCGGACACCGCTGGAATGTGACGCTCGTTCCACATCCAGAGCTGATATGTATCGGGAACAAATGGAGTTTGATGGCTCTTCCACATCCAGAGCTGATATTAATCAGGAACAGATAGACTTTGATGGCCCTTCCACATCAAGAGCTTTTAGTCGAACACCGCTGGAATTTGAGGCTCGTTCCACATCCAGAGCTGATCTGAATCGGGAACCGATGGAGTTTGATGGCCCTTCCACATCCAGAGCTGCTCTAAATCGGACACCGCTGGAATGTGACACTCGTTCCACATCCAAAACTGATATGTATCGGGAACAAATGGAGTTTGATGGCTCTTCCACATCCAGAGCTGATATTAATCAGGAACAGATAGACTTTGATGGCCCTTCCACATCAAGAGCTTTTAGTCGAACACCGCTGGAATTTGAGGCTCGTTCCACATCCAGAGCTGCTCTGGATCGGACACCGCTGGAATTTGAAGTTCGTTCCACATCCCGAGTTGATCTGAATCGGGAAGAGATGGAGTTTGATGGCCCTTCCACATTCAGAGCTGCTCTAAATTGGACACCGCTAAATTTTGAGGCTCGTTCCACATCCAGAGCTGATTTGAACCGGAAACAGATGGAGTTTGATGGCCCTTCCACATCCAGAGCTGCTCTAAATCGGACACCGCTGGAATGTGAGGCTCGTTCCACATCCAGAGCTGATATGTATCGGGAACAGGTGGAGTTTGATGGCCCATCCACCACTAGAGCTGATCTGAATCGGGAACATATGGAGTTTGATGGCCCTTCCACATCCAGAGCTGCTCTAAATCGGACACCGCTGGAATGTGACGCTCGTTCCACATCCAAAACTGATATGTATCGGGAACAAATGGAGTTTGATGGCTCTTCCACATCCAGAGCTGATATTAATCAGGAACAGATAGACTTTGATGGCCCTTCCACATCAAGAGCTTTTAGTCGAACACCGCTGGAATTTGAGGCTCGTTCCACATCCAGAGCTGATCTGAATCGGGAACCGATGGAGTTTGATGGCCCTTCCACATCCAGAGCTGCTCTAAATCGGACACCGCTGGAATGTGACGCTCGTTCCACATCCAGAGCTGATATGTATCGGGAACAAATGGAGTTTGATGGCTCTTCCACATCCAGAGCTGATATTAATCAGGAACAGATAGACTTTGATGGCCCTTCCACATCAAGAGCTTTTAGTCGAACACCGCTGGAATTTGAGGCTCGTTCCACATCCAGAGCTGATCTGAATCGGGAACCGATGGAGTTTGATGGCCCTTCCACATCCAGGGCTGCTCTGAATCGGACACCGCTGGAATGTGAGGCTCGTTCCACATCCAGAGCTGATATGTATCGGGAACAGGTGGAGTTTGATGGCCCATCCACCACTAGAGCTGATCTGAATCGGGAACATATGGAGTTTGATGGCCCTTCCACATCCAGAGCTGCTCTAAATCGGACACCGCTGGAATGTGACCCTCGTTCCACATCCAAAACTGATATGTATCGGGAACAAATGGAGTTTGATGGCTCTTCCACATCCAGAGCTGATATTAATCAGGAACAGATAGACTTTGATGGCCCTTCCACATCAAGAGCTTTTAGTCGAACACCGCTGGAATTTGAGGCTCGTTCCACATCCAGAGCTGATCTGAATCGGGAACCGATGGAGTTTGATGGCCCTTCCACATCCAGAGCTGCTCTAAATCGGACACCGCTGGAATGTGACGCTCGTTCCACATCCAGAGCTGATATGTATCGGGAACAAATGGAGTTTGATGGCTCTTCCACATCCAGAGCTGATATTAATCAGGAACAGATAGACTTTGATGGCCCTTCCACATCAAGAGCTTTTAGTCGAACACCGCTGGAATTTGAGGCTCGTTCCACATCCAGAGCTGATCTGAATCGGGAACCGATGGAGTTTGATGGCCCTTCCACATCCAGAGCTAGTCTGAATCAAGCACCGCTGGAATTTGAGGCTCGTTCAACATCCAGGGCTGATGTGAATCAGGAACAGATGGACTTTTATGGCCCTTCCACATCCAGAGCTAATCTTAATCGAACACCGCTGGAATTTCAGTCTAGTTCCACATCAAGAGCTGATATGAATGGGGAACAGAGAGACTTTGATGGCCCTTCCACATTCAGAGCTGCTCTAAACCGGACACCGATGGAATTTGAGGCTCGTTCCACATCCAGAGTTGATCTGAATCGGGAACAGGTGAATTTTGATGACCCTTCCACATCCAGAGCTGATATAAATCGGGAACAGAGAGACTTTGATGGCCCTTCCACATCAAGAGCTGCTCTGAGTCGATTACCGCTGGAATTTGAGGCTCGTTCAACATCCAGGGCTGATCTGAATCGGGAACAGATGAACTTTGATGGCCCTTCCACATCCAGAGCTGGAATAAATCGGGAGCAGATGGTCTTTGAGGCTCCTTCCGCATCCAAAACTGATCCGAATCGGCAACAACTGGAGTTTGAGGCCCTTTCCACATCCAAAGATATTCTAAATCAGGCAAGTTAATAGATCTATTTATGCATTTATGAAAAGCTAAACTTTCTACCTTTTATGTTAATTATTAATTTAATTAAAAAATGTTAAGATTAAAAATGTCCTTCCTTATAAATCGATGGCAAATTATTTGAATAGTATGAAAACAAGGGATGTTTGTATCTATTATATCTATTTTATTATATCTATATCTATATGCAATATCTATTTATTTTTATATTATATTTAAACAACTTAGACTTTAAAAATAAGTATGAAAAGTTCTGATCTTACTTTTAGGAAAGACTAATAATGGGACCGTCGGTTGGAGATATGGACTCGGTGCTGATTGAGTTCATTACGGAGCATGCCAACTACATCAATGTCTTCGCCGAAGCCCGCACCTGCTTTCAGGTGAGTTGTTAAACACTTACTTTTTACATATTTTCACGTCGTTCTTAGGAAGAGACGATTGTGGATTTTGATTTCGATTGGAGCACAATTGGATTTAATGACCAGCCAAAGGTCGTGGCCCAGCCCCAGCTGCTCCAGCCCCAAGTGGAAAATTTGATTCAGCCAGCAAATGTGATACAGCCGGAAATTGTGACCCAGCCGGTAAGTGAGGTCCAGGCGGAAGATGTGATCCAACCTGAGGAAATAGTTGAGCAACAGCAATCGGAGCCAATAGTGGAAAATCCGCCTACGGAGAAAACAGTGGAAGAATTCGCATCGGAAGCAGTGCCTCCTGTTTTGCTAGATAACGACTTAATGGATATAGACGTACGGACTCCTTTTTCGCAATGCGACCCTTTTGAATGCTAATCCTACTCCACAGATGCCGGAACTGGAAGCCATGCCAGTTGTGGCCGATGAACAACTAATATTGGAATTGGAAGCCATGTTGGACGAACCAGTATCGACTCAAGCAGAAGAAATGCAAAGGGTGGTATCTATAGGGCCAGGAAAACCATTGAAAAATGCTAAGAAACCAAGAAAGAAACCGGCCAAACCGAAACCGAAAAAAAAAGAATTGGAGACCAACAAGGCAGTCGAAATGTCAACTAATCAAGCCAATCAGATTGATATACCGACTTATCCAGTTGGTTTAACTAGTCCAACTGTTCTAGCAACCAATCAAAGTGAAATGCCAACTAATACTCTTGCAAGTGATACAATTTACAATTCAACTAACCCTATTCATACAGGTCTAGAGAACTATACCCAGACTTTTAGTGCACCTGGCAAACCAATTATATCAGTCGGGAAACAAATAAGACCAAAAAATACGAGGACCAAAAAAGAACCCATTAGGAGAACATTGAAGGCGCCCGCAAAGCCCAGTATCGCCAAATTATTGAGGGACGCTGCCAAGAAGGCAAATGCGGAACCCAAAATGCCGAGAAAGTCTAAGGCAACTAAGGTACCTGTAAATCCAAGTACCTTCAATGCAGATGTCTCTCAGTCAAGCGTTTACCAGAATCTAGAAACTGAGAGTAGGCAAAGCGAGGAACCAAATAAAAAGGTAACTGCCAGGAAAACTAATGCCAAGGTCCCTATTAAATGTAATGTGGAGGAAGTTGTGGAGCCCACGAAGCCAACAGAGGAAATAAAACCTGTTGAAACGGCTTTAAAAACACCACCAATACCACCACGTGTGCAATCGATTGGAAAAGTGATAAAGCCTAGGGCTCCTAGGCGAAAAAAGGCCACTAAAACCGATACCATTGGGGACACCTTGGCAGAAGAACCTCCCGAAGCAGGAACTAAAACGGAACTTCCTAAGTGCAAAGCCAAGGCAAAACCTAGGGCCCCTAAAGTACCTAAAATACCTAAAACTCCTAAGACAACCGCGAAAAACCAACCAAAAAAGAACCAACCGATGCAGCCTGTTCCATTGAAAGCACCCATTGAAGCGCCTACTGAGGTAATTCCACAAGTGGCCCCAATTGCACCTGTACCACCAACACGTCATATGAAACCCATGCCGCCAATCGCACCCACTGGCCCACGATTCCCCGTTGCCCAAAAACCCGGGCACTACATTCCGAGTCGCAGGACAGCGAAGTCGCGGGGCAAGAATCTCAGCGCACTGCCTTGCTCAAGTGCTGCCAGTGTGAGGAACACTCCAAGGGTGCCGACCAGGGGTAAGAACATAAATAACATCATGGCGATGGAGAGAGCTATGAACACTACGCGTCAGCTAGAACAACCAGAACAACCTGAACAACAAGAAAAACCAAAACAACCAGAACAAGCAGACCAACCAGAAAAACCACGTCAAGGGCCAGTACGTTTCATTGCGGTAAGTGTGAAATATTGCCCGAAATATTGAAATTTTGTAGTGATTACTTTTTTATTCACTAAAATCAAATAAGTCTACGGGTTTCACATAAATATAAAATTGCTAAGCTAAAAGATACTTTATTAAAAGAAAATGGTTAGGCTATAAAGTTAAAAACTTGATGTCCCGTAACATTCCCTTTTTTAATAATAATTGTAAACTACTTAGAATAGAAAATTGTTAAACTGAAACAATAATAACCTATAGATTTTGGATGGCTCGATCACGCGCTTGCGAGAGCGCCCCATGTCAAGATCCGTATCCCCAAACGATATGAACCATCGACTACCTTCCTTGCCCTCAAGCTTGTCTTCCAGTCCATCCTTGTCGCCTTTTGTATCATCCAGCCCGAACTGTGGATTTTTGGGATTAGGGTCTTGTTCCAGATCAACATCTTCCTCGTCTTTTACTTCGGCAGACAAATTACTGTTGGGTATAGAATCTCCGCCTCGCAACGATTCGCCATCGCAGTTAAATGCCTCTGACGGACAGCCATCTCATCTGGAGTCGTTACCATCGACATCGGCATCGGCATCGCCCTTCAAGACTTTTCCGGATTTCGAAGAGCATCTGAGAGCTCTGGGTTCGGCGCACATTCCCGTAGTTTCGCCGATTCCCTGGAGACCATTTGATGATGTGGAGTACACCTTGCCATTCCCGGGCTTGTCCAAGTCATCGAGTTCCTCGTCCTCGTCATCCTCATCCTCATCCTCCTCGTCATCGACATCGACTTCATCGTCCTCATCATCATCGTCCTCATCATCGTCCTCATCATCATCATCATCTTCATCATCGTCATCGTCCTTTTCGTCATCGTCCTCATCGTCGTCATCAGATTCGTCGTCGGAGAGCGATGATTCCGACAGCGATGGTGATGAAGATCACGAGATGAATCGCAAAACTAATTCCCAGTCATATGAACAAGATGCCGTAAGTAAATAATCCCGCCAAATTTAGGGCATTCAAAAACCTTACTTTTCTTTGGTCGTACGAGATCATTTTCTCAATAGTAAATAATAACAATTTTGTATATTTAATTACCAACAATTGTTTTTTAACAAATTAAGCTTAACAAACAATGATGAGCTTAATAACTTAAGTTTGCAGATCACTGGCTGCGGTAGCCTTCCACATAGACTTACCTTGAATAAATTACCTTAGGTCCATGCTATACAACACGCAACGGAAACGGATTTGCAAAGCGGCTTCACTGCTCAATGCGATTTACCAAACATTCCATCGAATCTGACGGCCGAGGGGCAATTACTTGTTCAGAAGCCATTTCAAGAGCCCACGGCAATCAAACCAATTGTGGAGAAAATAAACAATGAAAGAGGCTTAAAGCGCTGCAGTCCTGAATATTCGGAACCAGTTGAGGTACTCTGTTATCCGAAAATTTCTAAGCCAGAAGTGGCACCAGAAAATCATATTGCGGATAAAACAACATATGTTCTAACATATGGATCGAATATATCACCAAGTAATCCTAAAATTGAGGAAACAAATGTTCTGAGCAGACTTATAGCTAAACAACCTGATGCCCAATTGCTCAATGAGAAGCCTTTCGATATACGTGAATCTAATGTTTCTGTACCAGTATATTCCAACTTAATTATAGAAACAGATGTGATACGTCCAATATCGCCGAGTCCTTGGAGCCCAATTGATGATTTGGATATACTTAATTCAATTAAGCCAGATGTAAAATACCGTGAATCTAAAGTTTCTATATCGGTATTTATGAACCTTATCAAAGAAACAGAAATGATACGCGCAATATCGCCGATTCCTTGGAGCCCAATTGATGATTTGGAGGAATCCCAGTCAATCAAGCCAGATGTGAAATCCTGTGAATCTGAAGTTTCTCTACCGGTAAATTCGAACCTAATTGAAGAAACAGATATGATGCCCGTAATGTCACCGATTTCTTGGAGCCCCATTGATGATCTTGAAACTTCTGAACCAGATGCGGAACCAATTGACGATATGGAGTATCTTGAAACTTCTGAACCAGATGCAGAACCAATTGATGATATGGAGTATCCTGAAACTTCGGAACCAGAAGCGGAACCAATTGATGATTTGGAATATATGCGAGCACCAGTCTTATCGGAGTCATCGAGTTCCGCATCCTCGCCGTCCTTGTCAAAGAGCGATCCTGTAAACTCAGAACTAGTTTTAAAGCCCTTTTCTCCTACAATTTCTAAACCACATTTGAATCCCCTAAATCCTGAAATTTCCGAACCTGATTTGGATCCCTGTAGTCCTAAAACCTTGGAACTAGATATGAAACCCTGTTATCCTAAGACTTCCGAATCAGATGCGGAACCTGGCAGTCCTAAACTTTTTGAACCAGAATTGACCCCTTGTAATCCTATAACTCTTGAACCAGAAGCACTTAATAGCAGAGTTTCTGAACCAAATGTAAATCCAAGTATTTCAAAAGTTTTCGAGGCAGCAGATTTTAAAATCTCTACGCCTTGTAATTCCATGATTGGCACACCAGAAGGTAATGCAAGTAATAGTAACATTCCCGAATCGAATGCTTCAAACTTTCTGACAGCTAAGCAATGTGATACACAAATTAATGGGAACTGCTTTGCGGATCCCAAGTCAATGAATACTTCTCAAAAATCAATATTTTCGCCACCGGAGGATTCAAAATTGGGTATGAAACCAGATTTAATACCGAGTAATCCAAAAACTTGTGAACCAGATTTAAAACCCTGCGATCCTAAACCTACTGAACCACATGCGAAACTATTTAGCCCTCAACTTTTTGAACCAAATGTGAAGTCTTGTAATCTTAAAACTGATGAACCAAATGATAAGCCACCTATGACCAACATTTCTGAACCCGATATGAAACTCTTAAGCTCAAGTAATTCAAATGTTTCTGAAGTAGCAGATATGAATCCCTATAGTTCAAACACCTCTAATCCAGATGAGAAACCCTGTAATTCCGAAACATCCAAACCAGAAGTAAATTCCTGTAATCCGGAAATTTCTAAGCCAGATGTGAAACCGCGGAAACCCAAAACTTCTAAATCAGAAGCGAAATCGCGCAAACCTAAGAGTTCGAAGTCGGGAAAGCGAAAGGGCTCGACACTAGTAGATGAAGCAGCCAAGCCGAAAACCCCGAAACCGATTAATGAAACGAAGAACGTAGATCCGAAGTTTCAGGCTTTGCTTCAGTATAAGATTCCCAAGCTGGGTGCTAAGATACCAGATGTAAGAAGCTTAATCAATGGTTTTGCTAATGTTCTCATAAGATAACATAACTCTTCTCTTAAATTTTTAGCCAAGGTCGGAGACAATGGAACCTTCCCAAGCAGGCACTCCGATTAAAGAAATCGAGGGACTTCAAGTGAATAATTCGGAGACAATCAAGTCTGCTGAAGCGGAGACTCCAACGAAAATTATTGAACAAGAAGTGAACCAAGCCGTTAAGTCTGATGGGAGGCAAATTAATCATATTTCAGAATCAAATATTCAAGGTAATCCGATAAGAACTAGTCTGCCTTTTGAAACCGACCATCGGCTGAAAAGTTTTCAGAACTTTCAGTACCAGACAATGAAGAACTCGTATACTAACCAGGCTTTTCAAGCCTATCAAGCCTACCATCCGATGAAAAGTTTTCAACCCTACCAGGCGGCCTATCCCATAAGGGGTGCTCATGGTTTTCATTCGGTCTATCCAATGCACCGCATTCCATCCTTTGGCATGATGCATTCGATGAGATGTATTCATCCCACTCGCATGGTCTATCCGATGCGGAATATCAACCCTTTTCCGATGAGAAGTAATTTGCCACCGATTCCTTTGCTCCGCTTTCAGCCTTTTCCAACAGCCCATTACCCAATGAAAGTTATCCAGACTCGCCCAACTTATTACCCAACGGCAAGTGTTGGGTATTCACAAAGGGTTCGTCCATTGAATAATATGGAACGGACTAAGCCATCAACTCCGGGGAACAATTTACAGGTAAGCAAACATATTTAAGTTAAACTCAAATAAATACCAATTTAATTGAAAGGTTTTATAAATACATAATAAGAGCTTTAATAATTAAGTTTGCTTGCATATTTATTTCTTTGCCATCTTTTAGCTTATAAAAACAACATTGCTTTGATATATTTGATTGTTTTCAGACTATCGATCTTATTATTGGCAGAGCCTTTGAGGGCCGCAAGTACAGGGCCCTCAAGGAACTCAGGGAGCGAACCAATTTGCCGAAGAAGTGTTTGCGCAGGGCTCTCAAGCGAATCGGCAAGATCAAACGCTCCAAGTGGCGCATCAGCAAGTTTTATCTGCAGACCTACGAAAGGGAGTTGAGTGGTCTGCCTGCACCCAAGGAATTCAAGCCGGTAGGCGGAACACTTACAATTTTTACCACAATTTGAATTTTGATTTCCACTTTAGCTGGTCCTGAGTAATGCATATCGCAAGGTGATCAAAAACTTTGACGGCTGCAAGTTTCAACGCATTGAGGCTTTGGTCGAGAAAACTGGTCTTCGCAAAGCCAAAATAAAACGAGTCATGAAGATGATCGGGCGCAAGCGATCCACCAAGTGGCGTCTGGTCAACTACAAGAAACCCCTCATACACTTACACCGGGGACACAAGAAATCCAAATAGGCTTCATAGCTATCTACCTGGTCTTAATATCTAGCCTGTGTTCAATATTACTCCACTAGCATTATATTAGGTTTTTACACTAGCATTTAAATAAAACATTCCAAAACCACTTGGATTAAAGTTTGTTTTGTTTGTGAGATCCTTGGGTGCTGCAGCAGCTACTATGCTTGATGGCTGCCAAAGCGTTGCCTACTTTTGGGATGCTGGGCTGTGCGCTTGCGCAGCAACCTACTGGAATTTCTGTTCGCCTGGTGCACTTCTAAGCCCACAACTTTTCTTACAGACATCCGATTTCCAAGTGGCATACTTCAAAACGATCGTGGTTTGATTCCCCAAAAATCTGTGTTTTTAGTTTCTTTTGTTTTTTTTTTTGTCGATTTTCACCATTTTTAATGATGTAACCCCTTTCCAAATTTTCAAAAAATGGCAAAACACAGATTTTTAGGGAATCAAACCACGATCGTTTTGAAGTATGCCACTTTGAATTCGGAAGTCTGTAAGAAAAGTTGTGGGCTTAGAAGTGCACGTTTTGTGTCACTTTTCTGCGGAGCCATTTTTTGAAAATTTGGAAAGGGGTTACATCATTAAAAATGGTGAAAATCGACCAAAAAAAACAACAGAAACTAAAAACACAGATCTTTAGGGAATCAAACCACGAGCGTTTTGAAGTATGCCACTTGGAAATCGGATGGCTGTAAGAAAAGTTGTGGGCTTAGAAGTGCACGGTTTGTGTCACTTTGCTGCAGAGCTATTTTTTTAAAATTTGGAAAGGGGTTACATCATTAAAAATGGTGAAAATCGACCAAAGAAAAACAAAAGAAACTAAAAACACAGATCTTTAGGGAATTAAACCACGAGCGTTTTGAAGTATGCCACTTGGAAATCGGATGTCTGTAAGAAAAGTTGTGGGCTTAGAAGTGCACGTTTTGTGTCACTTTTCTGCAGAGCCATTTTTGGAAAATTTGGAAAGGGGTTACATCATTAAAAATGGTGAAAATCGACCAAAAAAAACAAAAGAAACTAAAAACACAGATCTTTAGGGAATTAAACCACGAGCGTTTTGAAGTATGCCACTTGGAAATCGGATGTCTGTAAGAAAAGTTGTGGGCTTAGAAGTGCACGTTTTGTGTCACTTTTCTGCAGAGCCATTTTTGGAAAATTTGGAAAGGGGTTACATCATTAAAAATGGTGAAAATCGACCAAAAAAAAACAAAAGAAACTAAAAACACAGATCTTTAGGGAATCAAACCACGAGCGTTTTGAAGTATGCCACTTGGAAATCGGATGTTTGTAAGAAAAGTTGTGGGCTTAGAAGTGCACGGTTTGTGTCACTTTGCTGCAGAGCTATTTTTTTAAAATTTGGAGAGGGGTTACATCATTAAAAATGGTGAAAATCGACCAAAAAAAAACAAAAGAAACTAAAAACACAGATCTTTAGGGAATTAAACCACGAGCGTTTTGAAGTATGCCACTTTGAATTCGGAAGTCTGTAAGAAAAGTTGTGGGCTTAGAAGTGCACGGTTTGTGTCACTTTTCTGCAGAGCCATTTTTTGAAAATTTGGAAAGGGGTTACATCATTAAAAATGGTGAAAATCGACCAAAAAAAAACAAAAGAAACTAAAAACACAGATCTTTAGGGAATCAAACCACGAGCGTTTTGAAGTATGCCACTTGGAAATCGGATGGCTGTAAGAAAAGTTGTGGGCTTAGAAGTGCACGGTTTGTGTCACTTTGCTGCAGAGCTATTTTTTTAAAATTTGGAAAGGGGTTACATCATTAAAAATGGTGAAAATCGACGAAAAAAAAACAAAAGAAACTAAAAACACAGATCTTTAGGGAATTAAACCACGAGCGTTTTGAAGTATGCCACTTTGAATTCGGAAGTCTGTAAGAAAAGTTGTGGGCTTAGAAGTGCACGGTTTGTGTCACTTTTCTGCAGAGCCATTTTTTGAAAATTTGGAAAGGGGTTACATCATTAAAAATGGTGAAAATCGACCAAAAAAAAACAAAAGAAACTAAAAACACAGATCTTTAGGGAATTAAACCACGAGTGTTTTGAAGTATGCCACTTTGAATTCGGAAGTCTGTAAGAAAAGTTGTGGGCTTAGAAGTGCACGTTTTGTGTCACTTTTCTGCAGAGCCATTTTTTGAAAATTTGAAAAGGGGTTACATCATTAAAAATGGTGAAAATCGACAAAAAAAAACAAAAGAAACTAAAAACACAGATCTTTAGGGAATCAAACCACGAGCGTTTTGAAGTATGCCACTTGGAAATCGGATGTCTGTAAGAAAAGTTGTGGGCTTAGAAGTGCACGGTTTGTGTCACTTTTCTGCGGAGCCATTTTTTGAAAATTTGGAAAGGGGTTACATCATTAAAAATGGTGAAAATCGACCAAAAAAAAACAAAAGAAACTAAAAACACAGATCTTTAGGGAATTAAACCACGAGCGTTTTGAAGTATGCCACTTGGAAATCGGATGTCTGTAAGAAAAGTTGTGGGCTTAGAAGTGCACGTTTTGTGTCACTTTTCTGCAGAGCCATTTTTGGAAAATTTGGAAAGGGGTTACATCATTAAAAATGGTGAAAATCGACCAAAAAAAAACAAAAGAAACTAAAAACACAGATCTTTAGGGAATTAAACCACGAGCGTTTTGAAGTATGCCACTTGGAAATCGGATGTCTGTAAGAAAAGTTGTGGGCTTAGAAGTGCACGTTTTGTGTCACTTTTCTGCAGAGCCATTTTTGGAAAATTTGGAAAGGGGTTACATCATTAAAAATGGTGAAAATCGACCAAAAAAAAACAAAAGAAACTAAAAACACAGATCTTTAGGGAATCAAACCACGAGCGTTTTGAAGTATGCCACTTGGAAATCGGATGTTTGTAAGAAAAGTTGTGGGCTTAGAAGTGCACGGTTTGTGTCACTTTGCTGCAGAGCTATTTTTTTAAAATTTGGAGAGGGGTTACATCATTAAAAATGGTGAAAATCGACCAAAAAAAAACAAAAGAAACTAAAAACACAGATCTTTAGGGAATTAAACCACGAGCGTTTTGAAGTATGCCACTTTGAATTCGGAAGTCTGTAAGAAAAGTTGTGGGCTTAGAAGTGCACGGTTTGTGTCACTTTTCTGCAGAGCCATTTTTTGAAAATTTGGAAAGGGGTTACATCATTAAAAATGGTGAAAATCGACCAAAAAAAAACAAAAGAAACTAAAAACACAGATCTTTAGGGAATCAAACCACGAGCGTTTTGAAGTATGCCACTTGGAAATCGGATGGCTGTAAGAAAAGTTGTGGGCTTAGAAGTGCACGGTTTGTGTCACTTTGCTGCAGAGCTATTTTTTTAAAATTTGGAAAGGGGTTACATCATTAAAAATGGTGAAAATCGACGAAAAAAAAACAAAAGAAACTAAAAACACAGATCTTTAGGGAATTAAACCACGAGCGTTTTGAAGTATGCCACTTTGAATTCGGAAGTCTGTAAGAAAAGTTGTGGGCTTAGAAGTGCACGGTTTGTGTCACTTTTCTGCAGAGCCATTTTTTGAAAATTTGGAAAGGGGTTACATCATTAAAAATGGTGAAAATCGACCAAAAAAAAAACAAAAGAAACTAAAAACACAGATCTTTAGGGAATTAAACCACGAGTGTTTTGAAGTATGCCACTTTGAATTCGGAAGTCTGTAAGAAAAGTTGTGGGCTTAGAAGTGCACGTTTTGTGTCACTTTTCTGCAGAGCCATTTTTTGAAAATTTGAAAAGGGGTTACATCATTAAAAATGGTGAAAATCGACAAAAAAAAACAAAAGAAACTAAAAACACAGATCTTTAGGGAATCAAACCACGAGCGTTTTGAAGTATGCCACTTGGAAATCGGATGTCTGTAAGAAAAGTTGTGGGCTTAGAAGTGCACGGTTTGTGTCACTTTTCTGCGGAGCCATTTTTTGAAAATTTGGAAAGGGGTTACATCATTAAAAATGGTGAAAATCGACCAAAAAAAACAAAAGAAACTAAAAACACAGATCTTTAGGGAATCAAACCACGAGCGTTTTGAAGTATGCCACTTGGAAATCGGATGTTTGTAAGAAAAGTTGTGGGCTTAGAAGTGCACGGTTTGTGTCACTTTGCTGCAGAGCTATTTTTTGAAAATTTGGAAAGGGGTTACATCATTAAAAATGGTGAAAATCGACCAAAAAAAACAAAAGAAACTAAAAACACAGATCTTTAGGGAATCCAACCACGAGCGTTTTGAAGTATGCCACTTGGAAATCGGATGGCTGTAAGAAAAGTTGTGGGCTTAGAAGTGCACGGTTTGTGTCACTTTGCTGCAGAGCTATTTTTTGAAAATTTGGAAAGGGGTTACATCATTAAAAATGGTGAAAATCGACCAAAAAAAAACAAAAGAAACTAAAAACACAGATCTTTAGGGAATCAAACCACGAGCGTTTTGAAGTATGCCACTTGGAAATCGGATGTCTGTAAGAAAAGTTGAGGGCTTAGAAGTGCACGGTTTGTGTCACTTTGCTGCAGAGCCATTTTTTGAAAATTTGGAAAGGGGTTACATCATTAAAAATGGTGAAAATCGACCAAAAAAAACAAAAGAAACTAAAAACACAGATCTTTAGGGAATCAAACCACGAGCGTTTTGAAGTATGCCACTTGGAAATCGGATGTTTGTAAGAAAAGTTGTGGGCTTAGAAGTGCACGGTTTGTGTCACTTTGCTGCAGAGCTATTTTTTGAAAATTTGGAAAGGGGTTACATCATTAAAAATGGTGAAAATCGACCAAAAAAACAAAAGAAACTAAAAACACAGATCTTTAGGGAATCCAACCACGAGCGTTTTGAAGTATGCCACTTGGAAATCGGATGGCTGTAAGAAAAGTTGTGGGCTTAGAAGTGCACTTTTTTGTGTCATTTTTCTGCGGAGCCATTTTTTGAAAATTTGGAAAGGGGTTACATCATTAAAAATGGTGAAAATCGACCAAAAAAAAACAAAAGAAACTAAAAACACAGATCTTTAGGGAATCAAACCACCAGCGTTTTGAAGTATGCCACTTGGA